ACTCACAACTAGATGCTTTTCGATGGGAAAGTTCTGTGTACGTTATATATTTGTTAAAGTAAAGTAACTGTGAAATAAATAAAAAAAACACTCGTCAATCACATAAAGTCAGTTTTTCTAATTCAATCCAACACATGGTTGTAATAACTTTGCACTGATCAAAACTCTAGTCGAGTGTTTACCATCATATCCATGAAATTTCAAACCTTATTAAAAGAAAAAAAAATCACAATATTCCCCAAGTTTGTCAAAGACTTATTTGTGTATGTCTGCTTTATTTTTTATCACCACAAACATCAACCCCCGTTGTTCTGCTTCCAGATGGACGACTGCCAGCAAAGAAAGGTGTTCGCTACAAAGCCAGCTGTGTAAATTGTTAATTTTGAATCAGTAAACAAAAACCTGAGTCGTCCACTGAGGCAAATATGATAATTGTTTGCGGATTATGGAGATCTGGCTGGCAACGCGGCGGAGGCTGTGAGTAAACGAGAAGAAAGCTCAGCTCAAACAAATGCAGTTACTCAGCCAATGGAGCAGTAAGGCTGATGGCACACACTGGTGGGATCCATCGGGGAATAACCAGCCTGGGAGGAAGGTTGGTTCAATCATTAAGACACACACGGACTTCCAGAAATAACTGGATTCTGGATGGAGCCTTAAAGCTAAAGTGCACCCTTGGTCCAAGTCAGGCAGTTATTTCTTCTAGTTACAGAAATACTTAAACATTTAAATGTGTGGAAAAAATATAATTGATGTGTAAAGAATATTGTTACTTTTATTAAGGGAGAAACTAATCAACATAGATGTTTAGTGGGACATGAACACCTCAAGTGCTGCACTGAAGTGAAGTTAAACATTTGCATTGAGAAGTAAAGTTTAAATCTGATTAAATGTCCAAGCCGATATAGTTACAGTGCTAAAATACAAAATATAGCTGGTTCCCAAATGTGCATTTTTATAATCTGGTCCAGAAAGCAAGGTGACATTGATTCAACGTTTAATCGACTTATTTGCTTTCATGCTACGGGGGAAATGAGAGGATTAATACAACTCTCACGTGGCTACAACGAGCACCTGGTTGGCTTGAGCCTTGCACAAAGGCTGGGAAATGCTAGTTTAGCACTTTCCAAAGGCAGCACATTCTACCAGTCAACATCTCAATGTTGTACTTTTATTTGAACAAAAAATAATTGTTGTGTGAGAGTTTTGTGTACTGCACTATTTTTGTGTACGATGCATCTCACTCTTACACACCTCCATGTAGTTAAATCAATGGGCTAGCAGTAAACCATACGTGAGTCCATTTGGCTACGTTCACATGTGAAGATGTCACTGAATCCTTCAAACTGAACCTGTTAATTAACGTAAAGATTATTATAAAGACACATGTTTTGGTGCCACCTCTCGTCTGAGTGTTCCCGACATTTTCCTGTTGTTTTGGTCTCGTCTGAAACAAACTTGGTCGGTTATTATTTCCTGGACATTTTCCAGAGTTTATGTCTGAAAACTTTGGCAGCTTGTGTGAAAATATTAATTTAAAAAGTCACTGTTCTATTCAGCCTTCTATTGTTGTCATCAACCAGCTTCCAGCTGTTGTTACGTTAGCCTAAACAAGATATGTTAGCCTTTGTAAACATCGTGTTCGGAAATGCTACAACAGATATTGTTTGTAAAGAATCACAGTAACATTTCATATCAACAATTTATTAACTTTTTGATGATATGCAGTTTTAAAATAAAATGTAAGTTTTGTTCTGGCTGTCGTTTTACTGAATAAAACAACAGTGCTGTTTGGCAGTGACATCAGCCCACACAGAAAATACCACAAGGGGAAACTGAATTAACACCGAAAGTGACAAGTCTGTTATTGGCAGCACGATGCAAACTTCATCATTTGAAGAATGACTAATATCTTCCACAACAGCTTCCATTGACCTTTTAAAGTGGTTGTCGTGAGTTGTTGCTCTTTAAAGAACTGCCTATTCCATCCTTTTCTTCCCAAGAATGGTAATAATTGTGTTCAGTGGTGAGACACTCTAATCTCTCCACCGCAGAGACCTTGTATCCCCGCAGACCTTCGGATCAAAGCCTGCCAGGGACTCCTCGACATGGTGTCCCTTGATCGCCTTTTCTACCACACAAACAAAATGCCCCCAAAGAGTGTGTGAACTGCCCACTCTGGGAAAGAAATGGTAGAAGAGACTTTAATACCTTGAACGACATAAGTAGAGTTCCTTGACACTCTTGGTCATTGATACACAGCCGCGCTCTGTGCGAGGCAATGGTCTTCAAGGATGGGTGGTCCGTCTGGGGCTGGAGTCGGACGTGTGTGTAGGGGTGTGTGAGCTCCCTTTGTGTCAGGGGAGAGGGGCCTTTGTTCTCTTAACCAGGGAGGTGGGACCGACAGATTAAGCCTTTAGAAGTGCAACAGACCACCATGAGGGCACGCCACAAGGGAGAATGTGTTTGTATGTTGCTGTGTGCGTGTGTATGTGTGTGTTTGTGTTTGTGTGTGTTTATGTGGCACTGCACTGGATGTGTACTCACATTTGCAGAGTGTGTTTTGTGGAATATGAGCGAAAGTGGTTAAAAAGGAGAGAAGCAGGGGACGGAATCGACACGGAGAAGGAGACAAAAAAGTCAGAGCGGGTATTTGTACCCATTTGCATGCGAATTAGCATGAGTTAGTGAGAATCTGATGCAGGTCAGCGGGTCAATAGTTCTCATCCATCTGTCCTTCTGATGGCATGCCTCCCAGGTCAGCTTGATTCCTCTGTGAGGGAGCTAATCTCACCCCAGTGCTCAGTGAGCCTCTACAGCGTCCTCTGATCTGCTCCTTCAAACTCCCCTGCTCCCCGCACACACAACAAAATGGGCCTGAGCCTAGGAGAGGAGGGGGGGTCAGACACACACTCCCACACACACACACACACACACACACACACACACAGACAAACAGATGGATAGTTGCCTTAAAATACTTGTTTTATCAAAATCATTTGTATCAAAAGCTTAAAAACAAAGTATGACACCTAAAACTCTCCTGAATTTGCTGCAGTCAATTTATCAGTTTTATAAAATGTGTCCACTGACAGTGAGCATCTTGAATGCGATTTCCCCAAAAAACAAGGACCCTAAAAAATACTGCAAGAGGAAAGCGCCCCTAACTTTCTCAAACACTTTCCTGTTGTTGTTGATATCGATGTTCTTTGTGGTACATTCCGTCTTTTACTCACACTGAGCTGAATACAGCATAAACTGAGAATTATTCTTAAATACTGTTTGACCCATGTCTGTGGAGACCAGAGCTTTTGGGAATAGGACAAGCGCACCATCTGTGATGTAGTCCTCCATCACTCCTCTGTCTCAGCTCGACCTCCTCCTCTGCCTATTGCTCTTAAAATCTCATTCTCTGCCTCTCTCCTTCATCAGTTTTCTCCCGTCCCAGCGTTCCTCCGTCTGTCATGGCGGCCCTCTGAACAAACAAACACGCGAGGGTCCACGGCGAGCCAGACGGCGTGATGTGGGAGTGTTTGCTTTGGTTGCTCCCGTGCGGGAGAAAGTTTTCTTAAGAGGCACACAGAGGGCCGGAGCTGAACACTGAGACCACAAAACAAATATTTACCCTCCTGCACCCGGGCCCTTTTCCTTTCTCTCTCCTCCTCGGGTGAGGAACAAGAGGATGGACCCACCTTTGGTTCTGGGGCAAAGGAAAAAAAAAAAGTGATCCACAGATACAAAGAGACTTGATGCTCAATTTAGGGGCTGTAACTGGGTTTCTGGATTATTAACCGACACCATTAATGCTTGGAATAACTGTGCAACTCAGCCAGGCTCTCCACACGATTCTTCGAATGTGGAAAACAAAACAACAGAGCTGTGTTACTAAGTTGCTTCCTCCTCACCCGCTGATTTTTCAGACAACCTTTGCCAGTCCTGCCATGCTCTTATTCTCTTACTCATAATCTCCATCCCTCTTCGTCTTCCTGCTACGATCAAACACAAATCAACAGATATCACTGTCCCTCCAATGCAACCATTAAGCTCAGCCTCCATCTGAATCTAAAGTGCCTCTCCTGTCGCTCCAGCGCCTGTAAATATGCACATGTTTGACTGCGGGGTCAGGGAGGAAGACAGGAACCTGGCAGAAATGCCCACTTCCTGGATGAGACGGCGCTGCAGGGTGGAGTGGGGTGCTTCTGCCAATCATGCGTCAGCACAGGGACACTCTCGGATGCACACTGTCACACATCAGAGATGAACAATAAAGCAGAGAGGTGAGGCAGAGGACGCTCGCAGGAAGTGGATGATTTCACTTGTTCAGGTGTGAGGCCTGTGATGGACGGATATGCAGGTGTTAATATCCTGCAGAAAGGAAATAGTTGCACGCTTGGCTGAGCACAGGGCTGTCCTCAGGTTTGCCGTGGAATTCCTGATGCTTGGTTCTTCTACATCGTGACTACACTAAAACAAAAACACGTGGTACTATGAAAAATCTATAATTAATATCCCACACTGTGTATAATTATAGAATCCCCATAATAATGTACGTGTTCAAACACTCCTTTGTTTATGTTGAACAACATGGAGCACATGAGACTCACCAGAATTCAGTGGAACTCTAGCGCCCTCTTGTGTTGTAAATGACTCATCGTCATTTCCAGAATTTCAGAAATTCACATTTTTGTGTGTGAATTCTTTTTTTTCTTTGTTATTTTGAATTCAATGGTTTTCACAAAATGTCCTGTAATGTTTGTGAACCAAAAATCTGTGAATGATTTTTTTGTCTGTTTCTAAGAACCGATCATGGAAGATGGTGTGAGAAGAATAAACCTTAGATATATTTATATATTCATTGTATCCCCGTCTCTACCTTTCATTGACATTTGCATCTTAAAACTGATGCACAACCATCGTCTTTTTAAATTCCAGGCATCTGTAATACTTTTAACTGTCTTTGCTCCATTGATAGATTATTAATTCCAGTTTATTGATTCCAGGTCATCCATCCTCCATGTCTTCGAACTGTGGGAGCAAAGAGCAAACCGGAGCACCATGGGGGACATCCATCAGGTAAACTCCAACTCCAAACTCTAACTCACCCTCTCAACACACTTTTTGTCTCCACTTTCATCCATTAACAAAATGCTGGATGATGGACACCTTTACACCACAGTTAATATTTAAAATAGATGCTCAAAGCAGTAGCAGAGGTTAATTTCCATTCATTTAGCTGAAATAGCCTGAGCTGGATTACAGGAGGGGATTTGTTCTTCACAGGACCACGGTTCAGGTCGCTGCGTCCTTGAGCCCAGCTGATTTGTCCTTCGAAAACACTCTGGATTCCCTCAGCCACTTGGGGGAGCTGTCCTGTAATTAATCCTGACCTATGACCACCCAGGAGGATGGAGGACAAGAGGACAACTTCCTTCCTGGGATCAATAAAGAACCTTGAGGTAAAAGAAAAGAAATTCCGTGCAATACAGAAGCTGGTGACTGATTCTACCACTAGGTGTCAGGTTGGTTTAACTGTAGAACTGCAGCAGCACAGGCAGGAGGTGAGAAACTGCTGCTTTGGTATATACAGGAAGAATAAGGATGCTGTCTATGAAGTCCAGTAATACACTGGCATCAGTAGTTTTACGTGCAAAACAAAAAAATTCAAAAACTTCTCTTTATGTCTCATTAAAATGTGGAAATGACGAGTATGTTCTAACCTTTTGATTTCTTTCTCTTTGAGAGAATCTAGTTTTTTTGCTTACATTGTGAAATTAAAGCTTCACAGCCAGAAATATACAAACACTATGCACACTATATATTTCTCTGCAAGACTTAATCACCTGAGTAAACACTTTTTTTTTTGCAAACCCAGTGAATAACTTTAAACTGTGCTCGATATACTGTATATTTAGAATTAATGCAGGTCCCACTCAGTAGCAGACTCATTTCATTTTTCTCTTATCAGTGATCATTTTCATATAACAGACATGTAATCAGCACAGACAACACTTATTAAGAACTGATTAACACCGCTGTCTATCACACAGCGGTTTCACAGTTTTCTCTGGCATGAATAATAGAGGGAATGGTGTCGTAAACATATTGCACCATCAATATCACGGGCGATGGAAAGAGCAAGAGAGGAGACAGAAATTAGGATAAACATGATGACGCTTATACCGAGGTTGTCGTCTGCGTCTAATTAATGAAGAGGTGGCGTCGTTTTTTTTCATCGTGTCATTATATTTTAATCGGAGCTCTTTCATCTCAGAAGCTTGAACTTCAACCAAGATGATGTAATGAAAAATGACGCAGGATACAGGCTATGTGCTGGTTCTACAGCCCATTTTGCTCACATTCATTTTGATGATACAATACTTTATATCAAGGTGAGTTACAGAGCTTTTAATTTGAAAAGTTGCCAACTTGGGTCGGAAGATTGTGTCACTCGCTCAACAGACCTCTGGAATAGTCGACACAATACCGTCAGTTATCATTCAAACTTGTATATAAACCACAAACATAAACAGAAATGAAGCAAATTTAGTTTCATTCCATCTCCACATGGAAAACTTTAAAATCTCCATTGCAGATAAACCAGGTAGGATGAGCACAAAGATTTTTACCTTCACCCTGCTTCATAAACTGTTTACAAAAAGCTCTGCACACATCGTCCAGCACATGAACAATTTAAAAAGTGACAGTATGTTGTATTACAGTTTGAGGAAGACTCAAAATGGAAGTTATTTCTGAAGTAGCTGCTGAGTAGGTTTAGAACAGGCACTGCACTAGTGGGTTAAAATCAAAATGCAGGTCTGTCTTTCATTATCAGAGCAAATAAAAAGCCGCCCTCATTTACTACACGTTTCCCGTTGTTGGGTACAAGACATCTGGGTGTTCTGTCACAGACTTCCTCACGTCTCCCAGGCAGTCAGCGCCCGTCAGACCGTTTTTAGGCAAAGAGGCCGCCGAGGAAAGGCTGTCAGCGGAAATGGATGCTTCCAGAGCTCATTAAAGGCCTGTCTGCTGCGTGCCAGGCTCGGGGAGACAGAGCCGGAGATAGAGAGCAACATCAAAAAAGAAATTCCATCTATCATGTTCCACCATGACATTAATATCTGTCACACAACTCTGACAATGCAATACCGCACCCCCGGAGTGAGACATCCTCCTGTCATTGAGCTGCGGCTCGTGCCACGAGGGGTGCTCGAGCGTTCATGTGCACACGTCCCTGTGTACTTACACGTTTGTTTGAGGGGAAGAGGGGGGATTTAAACATGTATTACCTCTCCTCCCTTGTTCACATTATTAAACACTGACTGTGATAGCACTGCAAGTGAATGTGGGTTTGTTTTCCTCCTCCCACCAGAATAGATTCAGTTGTATTCTGCACCACGGCAGAGCTTCCAACGCACAAACCACTCCAGGCTGTTGAACCAAATCTGGAATTTGGAGCACTACTCCAGGATGTTTACAATGAAATGATTCATAATGCGCAATATCAGGGTGGAGCAGCAGTGTTGAGGTGAAAAGCACTGTACTCAGCACATTATAGATTTAAATGTGAGTCCTTGCTGTAGGACGTGCCAGCGCCCCCTGTCCGCTCCTTTCACCGAGCTTCATGTGATGAAGCAGAAATGTCCCCAAAATTGTTTTGTAAATTCTTTCTCCCTGGCAGGCCTTTGATTCCCAGGGGAGACATTCACTTCTGCATGACTTTCCAACTCTGTCTCTGCCCGGCGGGGATTCTGTCCTCCTCAGTGGTTCTCAAACCGGGGGGCGGTCCCCCCTCAGGGCGCAGCCTCTGCAGGGTAGAGCACTTAGATGACCAAGGGGGAAACTGTGGAGTGAAAGTAAGTTGAATGAATATTATTTATTGTTGGGAAAATACACAAACAAGAGTGTGCTGATGCTACTGTGCTGACCTTTACTTCACTAAAACTCAACTTGGATCTTTTTCCATGAGTTGCTTCCTCTATCTTTGTTAATGAATGATTAAAACTGAGCTGAAGGGACATTAACCTTCTTCGGCTTCTAAAGGGGGACGTGTCTGAGCCACTGGTCTTTTCAAGGACACATTAACAGCAGAGACTTGGGCCAGAAGAAGGACGACATTCTGTTACCAAGGATAATATGAGAAGACAAAAAGTCCAAAACATTTATGACTTTGTGCAAGTTTTCAATAAATTTCAGCTACAATAAAAAAAAAAGCAGATCAGTTAAAATTGTATTCCTACACTTTTAAAATGTTAGGGTACAAGTACAAGCACTTCATGTAAAAGTACATAATCAGCAGTTATGTTTCAAATATAAAACTACTCAGAACGGCCCCAAGTAAGTTTTTCTATTATTGCTACAGATTCATTAACTTTTAAGTCACATTTTTCTGCAATTGTATACGCTTACTTATGTTTTAAGTAAAAAATAAATTGTCACTACTGCAAAGTATTAGCACCATATGATAAATTAATACATAATGTAACATATCTACCTCTAAAATACAGTGTATTTTTAAAATTATTACTCGAATCAGTGTAAGTTTCTGCACAATTTTTTATTTTTATATTTCGATTAGGAACGTCAGTTAATTTATTTCATTGCTTTTTTAATACATGTTAAATTGACGTGTCAGTCGTCAGTGTTCGTCACAGGAATAATCTCTAAATACTTTTCTGTAGGTTGATTTTCATGTTAGTTTTTAGAGGCTTTGTATATATTTGTATGTCAAAAACTAGTAACAGTAAAATTAGAATTCAAAATTGTACAGTACTTGAGTAAATTTACTTAATCCCTCTCCACCACTGTGTTCTAACATGCTATGCCGCTCTGAATATTAATTTTTGAACTGCGGTTTAAATCCTCAGCTGCATTTTTTCCGTGTCATCATTTGACATTTAACATCAGGTCAGTAAATTAAACAAATTGCCCGTACGTGCTGTTTTTCTTCTTGGCGGCAGCATCCAAAGCCTCTTACGCTTTAATTCTTCTGGTATAAAATACTGCACTGGTGATGCATCTGTGTTATTGATGTTATGGGATTATTAGAGACTTCAGTCCCCTTGTGTCGAGCACCGTGTCTCCATGTAAAACTCCTCCCTCTCCTCCTCTGCGTTGGATCATAACCAGACTCAGCAGTTTTCACCGGAATAATCAGCCAATAAAACTGTAAATCAAAGCTGCTGTGGACGGCTTTTCAATTGCACACTGGTTAACCCCAAAGCGTGTCCAGGGTGAGCTGTGATAATCACTATCGCTTCCTCTTGTTGCAGCCGTGTGCATTGATTACGGCATCTATTCCAAGGATCTTTTTTTTTGGGAAACATTTTCATCCCCATCTTCGTCAGTATCGTGTCGAAGGAACTTTGGACATAAATCGATCGTCTGCATCAGAGACTGAACCTTCAAAAGTTTGTGCCTGTTATAGAACTTTTTAAGGATCCACACATGTATATATTTCGTGGACATCTTCTCTCCCTCCCGCCTTCCTCCCTGCTTGCGGCTCTCCCTTCCCCCCATATCTGCTCAGATTGCTGCAGCATCACAGGGCTGACTGCCTCTGACAGGACTCTCCTTGGACCTCTCCTCCAGGCCATTTGTCAGAAGGCAAGCCCTGCACAGCGGAGTGCAGATTGGCAGTTGGCTGTAACGGCGTTCGACGTGAACGAGCACAGGGCACTGTTGGGGCTGTGAATGAGGAATAATACGGAGGCGAGCTGAATAAACATGATCCTCTGGCGTAATGACTCAGTTCATAGCACTTCCTTGACAACAGAGGCCTGTCGGGTATAAATGAAAACCCATGCATAAATATTCTCCCTGGTTAATATTTTATCAGCTACATGCCACACGGAACATCACAATGTTGATGAACCAGCATCCCTGTGAGCGCTGACCATATGTCGTTCCACATTTCTTTTTCGCTGTTCAGACTGAGGTGCGATTGTTTTCCACGTGTCTCTTCTTCTGAGGTGATTAATCATAATTTCAGACATAACTCTGAAGTGAAAAAATAAGAACAACACCTTAATTCTCCTGAGTGTTGTTCTGTTTTGCCGTTCGGCACCGTAACACTCCTGCAGCAAAAAGCCTTTCATTAAACACACATTTTGCAGAAGGATGCTTAAATCACAGCTGGCGTGAAAGCAGAGGTGACTAGTGTTTTTAAAGTAGAATGGAGATATGTGGTTCTAATTAGACCACTGGCTATCTCAGCAGACCTCCTGTCACTGTCGGTGCCCAAACCCTCTCTTTAATTACTCACAGAGGAAAGAGGATGTCAAGAGAAAATAGCGAGTAGGCGCCATGTAAGACATGCTGCATGATTTCTGCTGCGGGGCAGCCGAGATTCTCACTACAGCACTGGGAAGGGTTCTCAGGCAATTGATTGCAGAGAGAGGAATGCAACTTTGAAAGAATATTTACAGTACTAGCATAGAAATGGGTTTTTTAACTCAATTTTAATCAATTTCCTGTCAAATGTTTAATTTTTCAACACTAGCAGCATTTCTCTAGACACTGTAGGTTGGTTGCTCAGCCTGAAATATCTTAACAGCCATGAAATCTGCTCCAGACATTCACGGTTCCCAGAGGATAACTCCTAATGATTGATCCCCTGACTTTAACACCACGAAGCTGGCATTTGTCTCAATGACCGTTAAATAGATTCCTGCACACATTCATGTTCCCCTCAGGATGAATTGTAGTACTTCCCACGATTTTGCATCTAGCGCCACCATCAGGCCAAACATTTGATTTGAAGACATTGAAAGTAAACTATCCCAGATACAGGAGCTGCCGTCTTTTGATGTTGATGTTATTTGGAGCCGGAGCAGTAGCAATAAGGGGGTGGAGCCGTGATGTTGAGGTCCCGCCGACACATTTCATGACATTTCAGCCCACTTTGATAACATCTAATTAATAATCAAAACCAAACTTACCAGGAGGCCTTGAGCAAACATCAGTGCAATAACAACTGATTGAAGTGACAGAAGCCATGTTTGAGGAAAATGTATTTAACATGTAGGTTGACAGGGTTTCTGTCCTATACTGCGGCCAGCCACCAGGGGGCGAACAAGATTATTTGGCTCCAGTTTGTAATTAGTATAACTTTCCCATCAGTCCTAGCTGTGCAATATGCCTCGTCCTATATCGCAAATGCTAATATGCTAAATTATGATGTTACACATAATAATGTACCAAAGTAAAACCTATAAAGTCTCATTATCTGCAACTACCTTCAACGATGGCTTCATCTTTAATGATGAATTCACATTTATTAAAGCACATGCACTCGTCTTGAGCATCTTTTCAGCTTTCATTTTACGACAGTGTACATTTATGGCAGGTTTTTAACAGTAATCAAATATTATCGCTGTGTTGCTCCGCTCCGTGTGGATGTGGTGCTGCGGCAGATTCTACAGCCTCTGCTGGATAACTAGTGTGGAGCTTTTCCAGGCTGAAAAGTGATGGGAGAGAGCTTGTACTCTGACACACCTGTGACACATCACAATTACCCACAAGCCCCAGGATTGTGTGCGTGTGTGCGTGTGTGCGCTTGTGCGAGTGTGAGTGTGTGTGTGTGAGAGAGAGAGACAGGTACATGCAATCCTGCTCATGGGGGGAAAAAAACAGATAGAAAGAAATGGGGAGAGACAGATGAACTAACACAAAGTTGATGTTTTCACAGTGGACAAAAAAACAAAACAAAAACAAGACAACACTGCATTCTCTGGCTTGTTGGTGGGTCGCACACCTCCGCAGTTACCATGGTAACAGTCATCCCTGTGGAGAAGAGTTCCGGCTCGATCCCTGAAGCCAGTGTTTGATTGAATGGTTGTCAGGATGCAAGACAAATGATGACGTGTAAGAGCACCGCTGACAAACGCACCACACGCAGAGGCACAGTTAAGTGCAATAAAAGGTTTAGGCAAATGTGTGTGTGTATGTGCGTACAAGCGCAAGCGTGTGTATACAGCATGTATTAAAGAGCAGGTCACCAGGGTGCGGGGGGGTCTAGAAGGTTTTTTTGCCAGCCTGAGAAAAATATCAATGAATCCTCACACTCCTGCTCACTCCTCATCCTGGAAATACATGCATGCATATTTTATGGCACGAATTCTCCCGGAGTAAATGCGTGCATCGATAAAATAACCCTCCGCTGTATGTGTGCAGGGGTTGGATATTTACTGCGGCTCCAATTTGCATGTGCAGCAAACGCAATAATACCTTTTAACAGTAATGTGCAGAGGTTCACGAAAACACCATTCTCCAAATTGGAAAGGGATTGCTGTCGTCTCTAGTAACACTTTGAATCATGCTGCCGCTTCTCTGCAACCTCTTGCTTGCACACGCTAATAAGCGACGCCAATAAATAAGGCTTTTGTGCGACCTCAAGATGTGCCAGACACAGGGAGCTGCATTTAAAAGGCACATTATCAAATCTGTGTCTCATAAGTGCCTCGTCTTTGTTGCCTTTGTGCAATGTGAAGTTCATTTCCAGTGATAATTAAACCCTTAGCACATTTTCATCTTCTTACCTCTACTTTACATAATTATCCTCGGGCCACTTTCTACCGCTAAGGAATTTTTTAGCAGCTGGATAGTGAAGACAAAAGCTTCTCTCGAAGGATGTAATGTGTATACAGAGAAAATAGACTTTTCAGTTCAGGGCATGTCAGAGCAGATATATGCATGTGGATTCTCATTGTGGCACCAAATTAAATCTGTTGATAATAACAACATTAAAACCCTCATGCCAACGTCACGCTATGAGCACGAAGATTTCCTTTTTTTTTTTTTTTTAAACAGCAATCAGCTGCTATTAGGTCATGATGGTTCTGGCGAATTTCCACGAACACCGTCACCAACAATTACTCGCAATCCTGCTTCTGGAAAAACAAACCATTCCAAAATCCACAGATATTACTACCCCTACTTCACATATACATTTTGTGCTGCTGGTATAAGAGAGTGCAGCAACAGTGGCCTGCCAATTGCATAAGTGGTTCGCTAATGCTATGGTTAAGTTTATGACCCCCGAAACAGCCTGTTTCATTAGAGGTGAGTGTGGAGCACCGGAAGGTCAAAGATGCGTTTTATAATATACAGCACTTACCACAGTCGAGCCCGTGCACCTGCAACATTTCATCTGCGAGCTATTACAAATGGCCTTGTGACTTTCTGATGCTATAAGTACTGAGGGGGCTGAGATATTCAGAAATATACTGTGTGTATATATAATATATATCTTTAACTCTGATCAGAGAGAGTCAACCCTGACCGCACCTTTACAACATTTTCACCCCTAAAGGGCTAAACTCCCCTTTAGAAGGAAACTCCATTGTATTTTACAATTAGTTAGTTCAGAGTTGAAGATTCAAGATATGGATGAGCAGTAATTTACAGCAGATACAAAACAAATAGCAGAATGCTTTTATTTGAGGTTTGAATCTATTGAGCTATATTAGGTTCATTTGTCCAGGTGTCGGGATATATACGTCTTTTTTTTGCATCTACTTTCACAACAGAGATTAACGTAGTTGTGTCTTTGCTGCTCATGTTACTGCAAATTATGTTAAGCAAAAACAAATTGAAAAAACAAATTGTAGGCCTCCAAGACAAAGTTATCAACTAGTTTGACCCAGATATTCCCGACAGGAGTTGGTGGAGAACAAAACAAAAGAAAACTGAAAATTGGAGATTTACTGAGCGTCCGTAAAGTAACATGAGTATGAATGAAGGCTAATGATCCTGAATGTCAAGTGTCTCAGTGTTGGGTTCTCAGCTCTTTTCCCCCAAATGACCAAATAAACAAATATTCATGAGTTCGTTTGTAGTACTTCGGTTTTCCATATTCATTTGACTAATGCACAGACCAAAGTGTTTCGATCATGACTTCCTTGTTATGTATGTGAATCATCCTCAACGTCATCTGGTTAAACAAGACTTATTTATTTGTCTTATTGATCAAACACACCTTTAAATTATCAACATAGGATCTGTTAACTGAAGCTTATGAGGTCACATTGTAGGTCATTTCCCTGCAGTGACAGTAAACAGGGTGTAACATGACATGCGAGCTAATGCATATGGGGAAGAAAGACATAACAAAACAACGTAAGACGAAACCATAATGAGTTTCCCCCCCTCAATAACTAAAAAAAGCAGAAGAAACACCCACACGATATCAACTTAATCAACAAAGACCCTTTAATACAACGTTTTTAATACACACCTCCTCCAGGTATATCAATTACTTCATTAGGATCAAGACTGTTTACTGTCAGTGCCCCTGTAGAACTCTCTGTTGACTACAAGAGAAAACACTCATCCATCACCTGACCTCCAATCACTTACTGATCTCTGCACAAGTTCACCATCGCACCTCCTGCTGCATTAATTGTCGCCGTGCATCCGAGTTGCATAAGTATTAGGTCTCCGGTTATGTTATAGAATAAAGAGACATTCTGTGATTTCCATCGAGGGAGTGACTGGTGTGTGTGTGTGTGTGTGTGTGTGTGTGTGTGTGTGTGTGTGTGTGTGTGTGTACACGTTGGGGGTGGGTGCTGGTGAAGGGGAGATGATAAATGAGTCCACACCATGCTGTCATTTGTTCGTTGGCATCCAGTCCAAAGCACAATTTAGTGTAAAATATTACGCCAGCTCCTCCAGATGACAAAGTTTAATGCTGATGTATGAATAGACAGAGACCGTCCCCAGATGCTATTGAACAGAAGGAGGTGGCCATTCTTCTTAAAGGGCAATTAATTAGCACGCACACAACCGCCACGGAGGATGGACGGAGAAAACGAGCAGCCGCGCTCTGCTCCTGTAGCTGCAACAACAACCTGCTTTGTTTTAGTTGTTTCTCACTTTCCGTCAACTTTCGAGGGAAAACGATCCCTGACACGTGAAGCTCTTTCATTGATTTCCTTTTCTTTTTTTTTAGAATTTTCACATAAAGTTAAACATTTCTCATATTTAGATTAAATTAAGAAACTGGATAATGTCCGAGTGGAGCTGCTGTTTCAAGGTCCTGCTGATACACAAGCTTGACCCATCACGAGTCAGTCTCAGCCATTTCACCCCTGACTAATTAAAACTGTATTTACCATAAAAAGTAAACACTTGAAAAAGTGTTGTATGAACTGAAGTAAAAGCCATCAAGAAAAATTCACTTGACATGAAGTTTTAATTTGGTCCTTGTCCCACTTACTAACATGGAGGAGATTGAGTTTGTGACCTACACTGCAGCCAGCCACCAGCTAGTGGATCAGGTCGTCCATCTATATATATACATACAGTCTAAGGTTTCACCCTGACAATATATTTAAATAGATTAGTGCACATTTAAATAATACAGACCTCCGTGTGAAGGATCGTCCTCTTAAAATACACCTGAGACACAGAAAGGTCATTGTCAACGCCTGGAAGAAGAGCATCGGGAAGATCTCTATGAAACCTGTTTAGTTTGTTTTTTTAAAAATCGGAGAATTCTGTTAGTACGAGATAAATCATCACATAACCACAAACAGCTTCTAAAACAGTCACTGTATTCACTCGGAGTCCAGGTGCAGTGAACTGACTCCTTTCAGCCTCTTGCACTCGAAACATCCTTTTTTAATTGCACAGATATGATTACAGATGCCGTTAACTGCCAAGAGGAAGCTACATTTACATCTGGATTATGGCGTTTCACTGCAGCTGTGCACTTTCATCTCTCACCAGTCATGATACAAAGGACAAGACGGTAACTGCTCCGGCTGTAAATGCTCGTCATGTATCATCTGTTTCCGTCAATGGCACAAACGGAGACAAAACGTGCCTCTAACCTGTTTTTGCCATGTGACGGTAAACAACCTATACATTCCTCTACACATTTCCCGCACCCCATTGAGCCGTTCAGCTCTTCTTAGAGAAAATGACACCTTATCTCCAACTATTGTTTTTCCTATTCAAATTCCTGGAGTTATACGTGCTTCTAGAATTGCAGTGCTTTTTCAATGGGAGATTGTTTCTTGGGGGATTTGTCCGACAACACAATACTCCTGTGAACCTCACTGTTGGATTGTTGTCGATATCTGTTTATCGTCCAGATTGTGTTGGAGCGCTATATTTAAGGTGGGAGATATTTTCATAAAGCCAGACTCAGTCAGTGTTCTCCTGAGACGTTCTGTGGGTGAGTTCCTTTGCAGCGTTAACAATAGTTACAACTACAGTAAGTGGAATTAATTCATCTTAAAATAATGTATACTTTAGAAATAACTTATTTTGAAAATGCACAAATTTGTCAGTTTATTCTCTTTTCTTTCTTTTTTTTTTTATGCAGCTCATCACAGCTCTCAAGCTTTAATATCGTCTGCAATCATGATCAAATTGGTAACGTATAACCCTCTGTGTTATGTCTATATATGTATAAGTATCATATATGCACAGTTTATCACATAAAGAGTTTTGTTTCTAAATCCATATTTTCCCTCGTACAGTTGAGTGTTGCGATTGTTGCAGGATTTGTTTTTGGTAAGTTTATCTCATTTGTGTAATATTGATGGTATTACAATCTACGGGCACAATCACAACTATACAACGTTGTTCTTATTATCTTGACCAGAAAGCAACCAGCAGTTTATCAGCCCCAACATACTGAAACCACTTCCTGTACGTAAGTACTGTCTTTGTTCTTTGATCAAACTCACATCTGATGTGGAGCAAAATTTGTGACTAAAAAAAGCTCCTCAGTTGATGCAGAAAACTGAATTTATGTCAATATCATATCATTTTGAGTTGCAAGGTTTTTGCTTTTTCTTGTTAGCAGCTGCAATCCCAACATATAAAGTACAAACTAAATGATTCTGTGGTTCCCTTTGCACAGAAAGCTCTAACACCCACTTTTCTTCCAGAATTACCCTGCGACTATCCAACCCACATCCGTGAGAACCTTTAGAATCTCTTTTTGGACATTTAACAATACATTTGCAATTATAGGAAGCGTTTTATCTCTCATGAAATACCTTGTTCCAGAATGCTGGACGGACTGGTTTGACAGAGACGACCCGACTGGAAGTGGAGACTGGGAAACTCTCTACAATCTTCGTATTGAAAACCCAGGAAAGATTTGCCCCAAACCAATTCAAATCGAGGCCAAAACTCTGTCTGGGGTCAGCGTGGCTGCAGCCGGGGATGTGATTTTTAAGTAAGTATTATGCAACTAGACTCTAGATACAGTGTTAGTGAAATTAGAAATACGTTATTTAACTCTCGTTATCTTACAGAGCATACTGAACCGAAAACATTTGCATTTATTATAGTATTATATATGAAGTAATAATTATCAGATAAGTTATTGAATTCTGATAGGGCTACTTTAAGTTATGTGCCAATATTACAGACACTGTTCAATCTCTCTATATTTTATTGTGAGATATGGAAGAATATTGACTTTAACAAACGTTTATTAAACTTATTTGTTGTATTACACTGCAACTTTTATAAACAGTTTTAAAAAGTAATTTTTACTGTACTATACACCTCTTAGTTTAGGGATAGTTGCAATCAGCCATTATAAAACTTGGTTTGTGGACACATGTGAACAATGTGAGTAAGAAGTCAACAAAAAGACGAATCAAACTGAGTAAGATTTGATTAATTCATATAAAAGTTCAGGATTGTATATCGTACAGATGTGGGCCACTTCAGGCCCGTACGAAATGAAAGTGAGCATTAAGTTGCCCACTATAATGATTGTGGCCCAAATATCCCAAATCAAATCTGGGCCTTTTTTGGCAAACATGCTTTAGACAAGGTGTAATCTGTCCCCAGTGGAAGTCGTGGTATTATCAGTAAGTATTGCACAATTATGAATTTGAGGAATTCACAAATTCTAAAATCACAAGCCCAGACACTGGCTTTGTTGCATCCGTTCCATTGTTTTTAGTAAATATCTCTCTTTGTTCGTTTTGTCAGAAGTGACACATCTTCAGGATTCATCTGCAGAAACCAGGACCAGGTGTCCAAGAAGCTGTGCAACGATTATCGCGTTCGCTTCAGCTGCCATCCCCCGTTCTGTGGTGGAGGTACTGTGTGAGCGCGCTCCACATATGTGCAAAGTGGATTCCCTCTTTCTCTTTTATTGTTTGTGTGTTCATTAGATGTTAGACTTGTTTCCCCGCCATGCAATCATGACGTCTCATGTTTCATGGCTTCCTGCAGTGTGCTGGACCAAGTGGTACAACCGGGACTATCCCTCTGGTACGGGGGACTGGGAGCTTTTGAGTAACCTGAAGACAGAAAACCCAGGAGAGATCTGTGACAACCCGATATACATCGAGGCGGTTACCACTGACACGATGACCCCAGCCATCAGCACAGGGGAGAACTTCTACGCGTAAGTTTCTCTCATAAGAGACATAAGAATTTATATATGTGGTAATTAATGATTAACACGTCGCCTTTACCAAAGTTTCCTAATCATCATGATAAACTGCCCCGGAGCTGCTGCAGTGAAAGGAAACTTTTTAGATGCACATTTACATTAGAGCAGATGAAACTTTAATGAGCCCCATGAGAAAACCAGCTAATGGGCACATATTGTCTAAAACTTTTAAACTGAGCCCAGAGCTCACTTACTTTCACTTGCTGTGTGCTCTGAGGGGTAAGAGACACGACCACACCAATTTAATGCTGTTCAATATTTATGTGTTTAAAATTTGAAAAAAGGTGACAAGAGACATGAAATAGAAACGTCAAGAGAATAAATATAATTTATCTGATTCATAAACTGATTGGATCCATTTTTCAGCTACAATCCAACTGTGGGATTTGTTTGCCGAAAGGAGGACCAGAAATCCGGCCAATGCCGCAACTATAAAGTGCGGTTTGGATGCCTTTGCCCATAATTCTACACCAACACTGAGGTGCGACGGCGAGAGAGGACTCTTGTTCCAGTTTTTATCTCTTAAATTTGTATCTGCTTTGTCTTTTCTTGTATAATTATATGATTCACTTCTCCTGATGAAAGAACCACACAGAAATCTTACTTTTTCACAGTGAACTTGTGGTAATTTCATCATTTAAATCAATTTTTTCCCGCTGTGAAACTCATTTTTATCTTCTGCAGAAAAGCCCTATTAGATGCTTTATCTTTTTCTTTTTACTGATGAAGAAATCAAGATCTTTTGTGATGACGACTGTAGAAAACAAATCACCAGCAATAAAAGAAAAATACTCAAAAAGAGGAAATCCCCTTTCTCATTAAGTTCCACTCTGCTCAGCGTGTTTGCAGTGCGCTAATGGGCTCACAGGCTTACGTGGAGCTGTGGTTCGGTGTGAGCGGTGCAGGCGTATATGTCAACAGGTGGCATGATGCACAAACGCTAGGAGGTGCTGGGTCACTGGGGGAATGAGGGAAAAGTCAGTGAATATAAAAACGTCCACGTGGACACTGACAAGCACGTATTCAGCAGTCTCTCTTTTTACAGCGGTAAACATTTGTATTATCAGCGCATGTTCCATGTCTGCGTCTGTGGTGAAAGGTCGTCGTCTGGCTAAAAGGTCAGGGGTTCGATCCCTATCTTCCTTAGGCGGATGGATGCTGAGATACTATAACCTGAATTCCTCCTGGCAGTGAATGAGTGATGCATGATAGAGACAGTGCTGTGTGCGTGTGTGAATGGGTGAATTGCGGTGACTGCAAATTACGAAGAACACATGCAAATAGAGAAAACACAAATTATTTCCTCAGTTTGATCACACAACACATGCAAATACAGTTTCCAGGGGACCGAAACCAGTGACGAACCTGGTTCAATGCGTTGTGAAGTTCCTTCACCACTGACGAGTAGCAGACTTAAATAACATTTTTTCTATTTTCTTAATTTGCAGTGCATTGAGCAAATCTGTGAGTGGTCATCAAGACTAAACACTTCTGACCTAAATCCGGTCTCCGCCACGTTTCCCTCAAAGTCAAACGCTCCTGCGAACATAACTACACACACACACGCCTGGTGAGGGAAACATGGAGATACAAGGTGATCGGCCACCATCGACATTTCCCCAGGAGATGAACACTTGTGATAGGAGCTGAAAGTAACTCACGCGCTGTGTCGCACAGAATATAAAATGAGAACACTCTCTCAGCTGTGCATTAAGGTGTTTTGCCAACACTTGCACTGTGTCAATGTTCCGAGGCTATAATTTGCAGCTATCTACCTTTGAACGTGCACGTCTGTCCTCTGGTGAGACTACGGTGAAGTTTGCACAAAAAAAAAGGAGGAAGGCGGTAAACGTTCCCTCGTCACTTTTTTTATGATAAAAACCTAAAAGGGGGGATTCTGCCAGTGGTGGCGAAGCAAAATGAACTCTGCACTAGTGTAGAAGTGTTGGAGCTTCAGAGCGTTATGGGCGTTCCATTCTCTTCCATTAATCTCCCAATATTCCATGGCTGTGAAGGCCTATTTATAGACCAGGGGATGATTAAGTAGTGAAGCACTGTGCCACAAAGGGAACCAAGCTCATTTTCTTTCCTCGTCCTCTCTCCTCTTTCTCGTGCTCTACCTACATCCTCTTTTTCATTCCTTCCCTCTGTGTAATGATTTTCTCTCTCACCATCTCCTCGCTCCATCTCTCCATACTCCACTTTTTCACATACATTATACTTCGTAGTCTTTTGCAGAGTTGTCAGTGGAATTTCAGCCTCAAGGGGGTGAGGATAAGTCCCTAAATGCCTTTTTTCCCCTATCAAGAGTTTGACTGAAAGGTTTATGGACATGTTAATTGTTCTGAGAGACAGCCTCGGTAGGGGATGATGAGGGGTGTCCGTTCATTGTGAGTAGCGGCGGAAAACGCGTGCAAGGTTGCAACTCACACTCGGTTTTGCAGAGCGTCCTTGAGTGGAAGTGGAGCACGGTACAGCGAAAAAGGTTAAGCTAATTTTCACGTGTACAGACGTGATTAATGGAGGAGGGGAGGAGGATGGAGAGGAGAGGACTGACCGCGTTCATGCCCAAGAACCAGCCTCATTTCATCACCTGCAGACGTAGAGAGAGCATAAATGCGATGTGTTTGTTTTGTTTGTTTCCTCACTGATGCTCTATCTGCTGCTCCGCATCCACGCTGTGAGGCTTTGGTTGCAACATTTTCCCGCAGGGTGGATTTTTGCTTTCTATAGATGCCGAGCACCTCTGTGTAACAAGTATTTGCCCATTGAAAGTCCCCTGAGGATTTATACAAGAAGGAGAAACAAGAGAAAGTAGCGATTGAGACTTAATGTAGTAGTTTATCTCTTATAAGAGGAATTCTGAAAAAAATACGGTAGAAAGTCAGGCAGGAAAACATTCACCATCAAATTACAGTGAAAAAAACCCTTTTAAAATACAGATACAATACAAATGCACACATTCAGGAACGGGATGTGTACTTTTTTTTATTATTTACATATAATTCAATGTGATCCAACGTTCAAGAACATCCAGCAATTTAATCATCCCGTAAAATATCTATAATGATAATCCCATTACATCTAATTTGTCGATTACAACTTTTATTTAATGGTTGATTTATCAAAATCAAATAAATAATAATGCAAGTAATTTAACATTTCCAGACCACTTCACATTTGATTCATAATAATCCTATAAAAATGTTATTTTTATTTTATCATAAACATTTTTAATAAAAGAAATGTACTGTATTTTATTTGCACTTAAAGAAAACAGGACATTTCTCTTTATCAGTCCGGTATATTTTGGTACCACTGCGGTTCTGGCAACCCATGAAAACACCAGAAGAAGATCAGAGTCCATGTACCTCGGGTTATTTTTAATAAATCCCTAAATTTGACTCTTCTCATGTGTCAAATGCCGGTTAATCAAAAAGACACATTCATCACATTCATCACATTCATCGTGGTTGCGATTATTGCTGAATTACATGTAAATGAGCTGCTCATCCTCCTTCACGACACCGTCTGGGCATTGAAACACCAACTTTAAATCCCCCGTACCAAAGCAATGTGAGCCTGAAAAGCTATTAGAGCATGACCCCTCGGAGATAAACGAGAAAAAGGCGTAATGGCTGTACCTCTGCGGAAGGTGAGAACAAAACCAGACTATTTTCACTTTGAAAAGCCATATTAGTCGTGCCAGCTTTTGCCTGCCAGCAACTCCTGCGTGATAGCTGTCTGGGACATTTTGTTTTCCAGTAGCTGATCCCTCGATTGAAAACACTGAATGCTGAGAGGGTGTTATCCCTGTTTGGAGTTTCTGATCCTGGATGTCTGAGGCGAGCGTTGGGCCTCTCTCATCCCCGGCTGCAACAGTTGATCCCCGGATCTTTGTGGAAACACAGTGGATTGCGTTACTGAGATGGAGGCCTGGAAGTGTCAGGGATGTTTGGCTGCTGTAACCCCTCTGTGAGAAGAGAACACACCAGGTGTGTAACTGCATGCAAAGCAGGTGTTCTAATGAAAAAAGTTGAGGCATTCCAACCAAATGGTTTCTGTCTTCAGGGCTCAAGAACTCAGGTCCTGACTTTTCTTGCTGTCACTTCCTGACATGATATATCATTTAACCTGATTGGTGATTTCTCCATCTCTTTCTTGTTCTGGTACAAAAGGTAAAAAGACAAAAACTAATTTGACGACAGGAATTTTTTCTAATCTTCATTTTGAGAATTAAGTGGAAAAACTTTTAAGAACATATCAAACTAGTAATGTAAGCGCATACGACTGCTTCTACAAAAGGCCAATTACTGTTTTAAACACATAAAGACAGTGTGGTGATCAGTCTGTTCAGGAAGCACTGGCAGCTCGCGTAGCCGTCAGTGGTGCAACATTTCAAATTTATTTACATTTTGGACTTTTTTCCCCGACATTTTAGTTTATCTTCAACTTTATTCTGCACATTTTGAATTTGTTTGTCAACATTTTGACTTAAAGTACAACATTTAAAAAAATCCTCTGATTTAGTTTGATTTTATTTCCAAAATGCGAAAAGAAAAAAATCTTCCTTCTCTCATTTTTACTCTTATGCTTGACCCTAACACTCCTCGGTACTTTTGTCAGAGCTGTGAGATTTAGATTTAGCACTAATGAGCAGCGATCCATTAACAACGCCCTGCGTACACAAATCACCCACGTGTCTCCGCTTCCACGTCTTTGTCCAACAGGCCGTCCCTTTATTTTTGCAGAGAGCAAAGTTTATTGGAGGCTTTTTTCCCTGAAAGTCTTTGTGAAGCCTTGTGAGTTCTGCTTTCATTCTCCAGTCTCTTTCCCTGCAGGCGAGTTCCTGACACAGACTAGTCCGATGGGGAAAGTCACTTTTAGCAAGCATTGCCAAGATCTGTGTTTGAGGGCCAAAATATGTAGGCAGAGATGCTTCTGTCCACATTCTGTGTTCTGTGTTCTGTCAAACTTTCTCTCAGTCTCTCTCATGCAAACACACGCACACACACACAC